TAAACTTATGTAATGGACAGTTTCGGTGCGTGATTGCACATACTCTGTATGTGCACAAGCGCATTACAAGATATAAATCCAGTAATAGCTAAGTGGAATATATTATTTATGTAAATTCAATACACAATAAAAAGAACAAGATAATTAAAATTTATAAAATAAGATTCATAAACGCATTTAATAACTGTGTGAAATTTATAAATTAAGCTTTTGAAAAATATTTTTTAATTAGATGCGTGATACATAAATTCAAGATACTGTATATATTTTTAGATTATATACATTACGATTAAATATAATAAATTTATTTAATATTGAATTTATTTATTAATTTATTTTATTTGACGTATAATAGATATATTTATCCAGTTATTTAAAATGATTTTTCGATAAAATAATTCGATATTTCTTAATTTAATTTTTGTTTTAATTTCAAATTAGTTAAGATATATTTCTATAAATTGAAATACTACATAAGTATTACACATAAACAAATTAAATGCTTCGAAAATAAATTTGATATAAACAAATTAACTTGTAATAATAGTATACATATTTTATGCAATAAATTCACTAATTAATATATATATAATTTTATAAAATAATCTAACGAACGTAACTATTCCTTGATATGAATGAAACTAAACGCAATAAACGTAATTTTAAATACTGTATTATACTAACTGAAACTCCAACTTAATGCAATGTACTTAATTAAGTTATATTTAAGCTCTTTCTGTACACGGCAAGAGTACTAGAATATTACGAGTCATAGTATAGAAGCTATCAAAAGAGGCCGTTGTTTGATGCCTTAGAAATTCTTTTCCTGACTTAATAGCTTGAAGCAAGAAATAAATGCCATTGGAACAGCCATTCAATGCAATTTCGACTGTTAAATATGAATTATATTGAATAATGCGTACTGCTAATCAAAAATTACATATATATGACACTTATTTATTTACCTAATGAAACTAATCTTTGCTTTGGGACATCCTTTAAGAGTTAACTTTGTTGGAAAATAATTATACGTACATTAAATAATCTTAATTTCATCTTGATATTATAAATACAAATTGATATTATTTATTCAAAATCTAATACAAATATGTTTATCTACTAGAGAAAGTGAGTGGGAGAGAGAGAGAGAGAGAAGACAAATATATGTTTAACAACTATAATTCAATAAAAAAAATAATTTTTATTAAAGAAGTATTAATAATATAAACTATGTGAATACTGAAATCCATTCGAATAAAAAATATTTAGAAATTAAATTAATATTCTAATAATTAAATAATAAATTAAAATAACGGACAATGGCAAGCTCTGGTATAAATACTAGAATTGCATTATATTTAAGTTTTTGTATATGTGCAATTCTTTAATAAAACTTTTTGATATACTTATATTATTTCAATATCAATATGTAAACATATTAAATCAATATTATTAATAAAGTTCAAATAACAAAAAATTATTATAGAATACGAAATTGGTAAGAAAATTAAAAATAAAGTATTAATTTTATTAAAACGATATTTTAAATTTTTTAATTTAACTACGCAAAAATAAGAAAAGCATTCATATAATCAATACATAGTCTCCGCACGTAGTGCATCATAATTAATTGATGATAATAAAACAATAAAAAAAAGACCAAAATTTAAATTAATATATATATACTTATTATACTTATTATAAAATTGACGATTTCGTTTAATTTTTTACTAAAAGAAAATAATTATATTGTTAAATTATAAAGCATTTGTTTTTTATAATAAAAATGAATTTCCTGTATAAAACACATTGTGCTATAAAACACATAATACATTATATTAAGTGATTTTATTTTTACAATAAATAATTATAATTATAATTACAATTTATAATTACATAAATAAATTTATTTATGCGATTATAGTTAACGGTATAAATACATTAGAAAAATAAAAATGTAAAGGTGCATTCATTATTTATTCATATTCTGAGAAACTTGCATACACAATTTATATTAAATTTATATCGACAGTTGATTTTAGATTATTATAAAAGAGTAATTATTTTATTCATTCTAATTAGTTTCGTAAAATAATGAAACACTATTGAAAAGCACTTTATCTGAACAAAAATTGTAAAAAACAATCGGTGAAAAATATCAAATTTTGAATTTTAAATTTTTATTAAAATTTTTATAGCTTGTCAATATAAACATTTAATTATTTTTTGTCAAATACGCAAAGCTAGCGATAATAGAATTAAAAGTATAATTTTAATATAAAAATTATTTAAGATTGCAGTTTATGCGTTGCCATAATTTTATTTAATTTTATATTAATTCCAAATTATAATTAAATATGAAACGAGATAAAACATCATAATTTAATTATTCTATCATATTATTAAATTTACTTGAATATTTTTGCCGATTATGTCTAATTTCATTATATATTGCTTTTTTTAAAATTCAAAAAATAGGCTATATATTCCATTTTTTATGTGATATGATAAACAGTATATGTTTAATTTAATTCAATGAAATTTCGAACAATAATTAGTTCATTAATGAAATTGTAGAATGAATATTATATAAATAATATTTGTAAGTTGTACAAATCATTATAACGTTTGAATCATTGAATCTATTATAAAATATAATTTTATTTGATCGTTCATTACGTCGTTTCTTACTTTTAAAATTATTAGGATGTTAACTACCGAAAAAATAAAAATAAAATATTTGTCGTTTTACGATATAATAATTAAAATAATAATAGTGTTTAATTAAATTTATGGCTCAATATAAAAAACTTTATTTTAAGTAGGATTTAAGAATACTTTAAATATGTAGAGATTTATTTCCGATTAAATATATATTAACAAATTTATTTATTTATTAATTTACTAATCCCTAAAATAAATATATGTAATATATTTATAATCACTTATTATGATATATTTAAGTTAAATTTTAATATTTCAATCAATATTGATTAGTGTCAATGACAATTATATGAATTTTCTTATGCTTTCTATAATTCAAATAGACATACTTTACTACATTAAATGCATATATTGAAAAAGATTTGTAAAATTCTGAAAATTTACAAAATTATATTAATGAATAACGGAATTTTCATATTTAAAATTTTACATTTAATTTTGGTTAATTTTTTTTTATAATCTTATAAATTAATTCATTAGCTTGATATTAAAAAAATAATGATACTTTGGTCAATGAACATAATCGATGTTAATTTGTTAATTTATTCAATACATAAGTTGAATGTTCGCAATATAAAACAAATTTTTTTTATTTATATACTAATTTCTTAAGAGCTGCATATGTAATATAGAATATTGGTGAATATAATTATATATAATAATATTATATCCATTTGTTACAAAATTAATCAAAATGATTAAATTTTATTAAAATTCTGTTATTTATTATATTTTATAACAAATTATTAAACTAAATTTTTTCATTATTATTTATTGTTTATTTATGTTTTATTTAATATCTTTTTATGCTTAAAAACATTCAGTTTCTTATTATTATAGTGAAAACAATAACTTCGAAATGATCTATAAGTGTGAAATTTATCTTTTTATGCTTAAAAACATTCAGTTTCTTATTATTATAGTGAAAACAATAACTTCGAAATGATCTATAAGTGTGAAATTTACGTTACTTAAATTGCAGAAATTTATAATTACAAATATAATTAAATAATCACTCGTACAGTCAAGAAGACTAAAATATTCTCTCAGAAACTGTCTAAGGAGTGGACAGATAATAACAACCAATTCTGGATATTATATGAAGGTTTAATGCATTTTGGAATAAAGAATGAAAATGAATTGTGCTACTATATACATTTATATATACATATAATTCTACATACATTTATAGTCGAACATTTCAGTATTTATATCTTTATTTATTTATTCAGTACCTTCAGTTACAAACATTTCATGTTTTTGAATGAATACTATGTGAATTTTATAAATAGTCAATATTAAATAAATAAATTTGCTAATAATTGATTTTATGCATCAATATTATATATATAATTTTGTATTAAATATTATAAATTCTGACTTTTTTTAAAGCAATTTTTTAAAGCAGATTTTACAATGCACAGTACTGAATTTGCAATTACTACAAGTTAATTTATAACTTTCAATCGATTTTCCAAAATTTTATTAAAATTATTCATGCATTATTCATGCATTTATTTTTAAATCTAAATGAAAACTAAAAAAATAATATAAATAAGTGAAAATATATGATATATAACAATAAAGTTAGAACTTTCTTCATTAATAAAATGGAAACACAATGTTTATATACAATTTGCACGACCAACTAGATTTATAGAAATATTATTAATTTACAAAAGTTATTAAATTATAGTTATCGATTGTTTTATGCTGAAAAATGCAAAATATTTAGTATAATATTAATTAATAATATACATGTATACTTTTTATAAAATCTATTCATTTTTTCAATCTATTACATAATGTAAAATTTTTTTAAATTTATTATAGTATGAAATCAAATAAACATCAAGATAAAGAAATAAAAGAAATGTTTTTTAATTGTTTCTTCGTTTATTTGATTGTGATATTACAATCAGTTTGTCATTAATTAATTAAGTTTCTCAATGAGATGACAATCAATTATTTGCGAATCGCAGTAATCGAAATATAAAGTATTACAAGTATCTTTTAAAAGTCTGACCGTAATACATAATATATAAGAATATTTTATTATCTCGAAACGCTTCGTCCTGCGTCAATGGGTTATTTCCGGGAGGGGCTAGCAAGTCCTAAAATGTAATAACACATATGTAAGCTTTTTAGCTTGCAAGAAAAATAAATTTGTTAAGTGTAGTGGCACTAATTTTTTATATTAAATCTGGTCTGATTTTGCATATTAAAGTTGGCACGAAAAACAGCCGAGAAGACGGCTGAAATCTTTTAGTACTCACCGATCATTCGGTTTTGACAATTCACGTGTTAGCAGCCGAAACTTCGTAAGGACATGTATAAAGAGGCTTCCTCCCCTTGTTTTCTAACCTGTTACATAAGGTCGGAAAGCGTCGGTGGCGGTCGAGGCACAAAGGAAAGCAGACGAAGATCGTACTCGGAAGTTGAATGTTTGAGCTGCACGGAAGCAGGAGCGTCGCGTCGAAACGTACAAACAACACGCCATCTCACAAACAGCCGACTGCTTCGCATAGCCCAAGGGGAGCATGCTATTGCTGGCGCCGCTACTCCTCCGACAGAACTAGAGAAGGGAGAAAGAGGAACAAATGCCCGTACTGCCACTGGCGGCTCCCTCGTTTCGTCTTTCTCCGATTCTCCTTCTACCCTCCAGTGCGCTGCCGCTTCCGCCACCCGCCTCCGCTCTTACTTGTTCGCCAACGTCGCTTTGTGCACACTAGTACACGAGTATTGCCTCCTGCGCGTGTAAGGGCGACCCTTTAATGCGAGGGAAAATGATCGAGTATGGACAGAGTAGGGCCACGTGCTGCTACTCGGCAACTCGCATCGGATCTCGCGATTCATGTGCAAACTCTGTTTATCCGCACGTGCATCGATGAGGCCGAGTAGACACGAAGGAAACTACGCCGAGCGGAACACTGATGCTGCAAATTACTTTGGAAGTTCAGCTTATTTACCAGTTTTTAAGGGGTCGTGGGCACACGGTAACTCTCGAGATACAATATTCACCTTTTACGATTTTTGTTTTCAAATTTACGGCAATTCTTAATTAACTAAGATGGTTTATTTTATTTAAACGAACAATAATTAACTTTTAAAATTTATTAATTTATATTTTTGTTTTTTTGTTTATTTTGCATAAAATTTTCCATGGCTTATGAGCCAATGGAGTAGCTCAATTTTATTAAAATAAATTAAGTGTAATGACTTGCTATTGATTATAACTCAATTGTAACTCAAATAACTAAGTTTCTATTTGATTTTAAATATTAATAAACAACATTATAATTTCATAATTACCTTAGCTTTGGAAGGACAACAACATTAAATAAATAGAACGACTTTTTAATACATATAGACCTGTATAATTCATTATGTAAAGCATTTTCAATTGGATCGATTATACTTAAGTATTCATTAGCTACAAGGAAATTATAAAGTGGCATAAATTATTGTGTTATATATCGTAAATATAGTTAAATAGTCACTACAACTAAATTTGCACAGTCCTCAAATATGTGTAGGCCCCATAAGTGACTGATTTGTTAAAAACATTAATTGTAATAAATTTAAACGTTTAAATTATAATTAAATTTATATTATAATATATAAATTTATATATCAATATTATATTATTATTATATTATTATACGAAAGAAATGATTAAACAAATGAAATTGAATATAATTTAAGTTATTATGATTATATAAAATAAATATATATTTCAACAATTCTAAAATTAAGATTTAATTTACAAAATAAGATTTATAAAACAAACATGAATATTACAATACATACTTTGTAACGGAAACTATTCAAGAACGCATTATTTTATTTTACATCGATAAAAGAGAAATTAAAATTAGTGTTATTGGAACATCAGCATTCGTTAAATTGGATTATAAATAATATAATTAACGGAAGAAGCTGTTTATTACAAAAACTAGAGATTTTTATGTATAATTTATTAAATGTCATTTTTTATTTCAAATTCAAAATAAAAATAAAATATGGATAGATATTTATTTCTAACGAAATTTTTAAGAAGCCAAAAATACTTATAACAATATGTTAGTAATTTCTTTTATAATAGTAAAAATGTATTGTAATTATTATTTAAATATCTATTTTATTGAAATTTATAAAATTTACCAATTTGAATATACTCAAAAGATATTTCTAATATCTTTTATATTAATAAAATGAAACTACAGAATGTGAAGATATTCATTAAAAAATACAAAAATATATTCAGAAATGTATGTAATACATGAAAATTTTTATAAATTATCTTTCTTTATATATTTGATGTAACTACTGAATTTTATTAAATCACTTTATTTCAGTAGCTTATGTTGATTTCAGTGTTATAGCATTTTGTTAATAAATTACAAAATTATAATTAATTTATTATTTTTTTGAAAAATTTAGATTATTTAATATTTTGATTATATGAAAGATTGGAAACCTATTACATAACTTCATAAGTAGATACATCAAGTATGAAAATATCTTTAATTTATATAAATAAGCATATTCTATAATATAATGAATGAAGAAGAAAATACTGGAATACGTTAAATTAATTCCTTTTTATTTTTATTATTAACGTTTAATATTCTAGTAATAGGTGTTATTTATGTTAAATTCAAATACATTAATATTTAAAAAAAAATGCATTTAATTTTTTTAAATTAAATTTTTTTGCAGTATTATCAATTATAGTAAGATTTGAAAATTATTTTTTTATCGTAATAAACATTTTAAAATAAAAATTTTATTTTTTAAAGCAAAATTCTAAAAGTTTATGAATTTTGAATAATAATTTTTAAATATTTAAAAATGTAATTTTTAGTTTTTGATTTATTAATATAAAATGAAACCTTTTTTATTTGACATATCTAAATGAAAGAAATATGAAACTTGTCAAAATTCAATTATTGTGTTTTAAAAATTACTAAAACATATATTTTTAATTGTATATTTATTATTATATTTATTATATTTATTGTTATTTATTAATGAATAATCAATTCATATTGAAATATTCCATGGATAAAAGAAAAAAATACATAAATTAAATTTTTTATTGCAATACATTATAGAGAAAATTTGAATATAATTCCTAAATACTTATTTAAATAAGAATTTACAATTATTTGATAATTTTATATATATATTCACCATTGAAGGTTAGTTTAAGAAGTGTGAATCAAATCATTAATAACTAATTTTCAGTATCTGTATGCATTTAATATGTATTGAAACGCAGGATGAACATTGAAATTATCAGTCCTTGTATAATATATCATACAGCCTCTTTTACACTTCGAACGGACTATTTTTTTTATTCGTTAATTCTTATTGCATTGGAATAAATTTAAAGCGAATAGTTTCTAAAAAAATTTTTGAACTTATAATTTTTGTAATTTATTTTATATACAAGTAGCGATGCAAGAGTAAAGAAGTATGAAATAAAGAATATAAGTAGTAAGACGAGATACCTCACATGCTGTGGGTGAGTGAAAACGATCCCATTTAATCAATACTTGTGCTCTCCGCATATTTCAGTAACGTCATTCCTACAGAATGCTAGTTTCCATTTTCTCAACTTTAACATCATTCTCTAAATTAACTCTTTCTTTTCTTCCACTGCTCTATTTCTCATTTTTGCCCCTAATAAATTATTCTGTGTCTGTTATTATTGTTTGTAGAAAAATTTCATTTTATTATATTTTACAGAGTTTTGTCTTATTTTTAATTCATTATTTTAAAATTAATATTACAAAATTATTGTAATTTAATTCTATAATTTTTGCTCTATAAAATATATTTTTTATTTTATATTCAGTATCTCGATATATTATTTTAAATTTTTCGTTTTATTGTTCATATACGAGATTAATTATTATTCTTAAATACTTCATCATTCACATTTAAACAATTGTTTATTACATAATGTGATTGCTATTTGGTGTTGATGTATTATTATATATTTTAAATAGATATTCAATTATATCCGAATATATAATGTATATAATATAATTGGATACATTATACTAAAAGAGGATCGATAATATAAGGAAAGAGTCCATCAAAAAGACTAAAAGACTTCAATAAACGGAATGTTTTTATATTATAATTAATTGTATCTAAATATTAGAATATACACAAACATTCCTTTAATCAATATATTATTATTTATGGGTCTTTAATTACATTGAAAATAATTATTTTACCATGAATTTATACATATAAAAAAGACTAATTTGATCTGTGTTTAACAAATGTACTAATATAATGTTTACAAAAAAATGTAAGTAAATAATAAAATACGTAGGGCTAATAAATAATAAAATGAATAATTTTTACTACATCATATGTTAAGCATACTATAAGAGAATTTTTTATTAGCATAATATAATGATATTTTACTTATAACATTGTAGTAAATAAAATATTTATACTCACTCTCTTTTGATATTCAAAAACTTGCTAGTAAATGTTTATTCTGCTCTTTCATAAAAAAGATGTTTATCAATATTTAATTGCGTTAAATAAAATTCAAGTTTATTCACAAGATACAAATAATAAATTAAAAATAAAAGAATATATAGTAAAGAAAATACAAAAAGTGTTGCAAATTTTACTTAATTCTTGATTACTGATGAAAATTTATTCGATTAATTTTTTAAATACAGTATAAGAGCTTAAAAACTAAACAAAAGAATTATTAAATAATTATTTGAATGTATAAAGATATAACAAAATAAATCGATGTTTAGAAACTGAACCAGAGATCGTGAATTTTTTTAATTTTTGTAAAACTAACGAATACAAAACAAATATATAATTGTGGCTGAATGTGATCTGCATGTACTGATAAAAATAATGGAGATAAAAGTAGATATATATAGTTTTCATATAATAAAAATATTTATAATGATTACATTCAAATCAAAGTATATTTATTGAATATATTAATAAGCTCAATAATATATATATATATATATATATATATATTAATTTTTTATTCAATTTTAGATTTTTGAAAGAATTATTTTCAAATTATTTAAGTACAGAGAAAAATGAGAGAGAGAGAGAGAGAGAGAAGAAATAATTAATATAAATGATAAAATTATACAAAATTGATTTATAATAGATAAAAAATTAAAAATTGCATTGTTGAGAAAAAGATGTCTGATTAACAGACGTTTAAAGTTTATTTATAACAGATTAAATAATGATTTCATATTACTCTTTTCGTTTAGAAAAATTAATTTAGGATATCTTAAGGATCATTGAAATATAAAATTGTCATTTTTATTCATATAATTAAAACAATTTGAGAAATATTTTATTATCAAACCAAAAGATGAGGTTTTAATAAAAAATTTATTAAAATTTCATTTATCTATATGGATAAAATATTTTATTGATGTACATGAATAATTATTCAATGTTAATATTAAAGTTCTATACAATCCTAATATTGAATAATATTTTAGTTAAAAAAATTTATTACTAAATACAAAGCTGCATATTCTTTATGTTAATTTATTCGTTATACATGTAGAGGTTTTTGTCAGTCTCTCCTTTATTTATTACTGTGCTATCTAGTATACTGCTTACATGTTTAAGATAATGTAAAAAGTTTGAATTTCGTATAAAATATCTTTTTTATGATAAATAACACTAGAATAAAAGTATCGTAAAGAAACGGATTATTATTAAATTATAATTTACGAATAATTTACGAATTGATATTATTTTTTATTTAATTTGTTTATTTTCTATACTACTCTATCTTTCTTAGATTCAGCATAAAGATAAGAATAATTGTTAGACATTAAAAAAAAATGAAAAAAATATATAATATATATATACAATAATATATTTATAATAATATTTATAATTAAAATACAATTTGAATAGAAATAAAATACCTTGTTTATCTGATTTTATCAGGATGCTATTATACCGATATATCATAATTCTAAACCTACATTTTAAGTCATACGAAAATTAGTTTTTAATAAACTATTATTATTCGTATTTATAAAAGTATTTTACTTTTATTAAATACTTATTACGTTAAGTTTAAAGTCGTGATTTACATTTTTAAAAATTAATTTACAATAAATTGCAAAAAAAATTTTATATATATTGTCGTTAATTATTTATAATAAAGCATTATTGTATTAAATATTTTTAACTCAATTTCTATATTAATAGCAAAATATTCATATTTTTAATTTATATAAAATTAAAACACATTTTTTCCCATTAAAAAACTTAAAAACAATTAAAATAATTTTGCTTTCAAGAAGTAGCACACCATTAGGCTTAACAATTTTACAATGCCTTGCTATTACCAATAGTAAATTATATTTCAAATTAAGCGCACTTCCAAGAACCAATAAGTTAAGGCCCTTTTTGCGCATGGAGTAAATGACTTTTTAATTTAGAAGTCCGTAATCTAAATAGAGATTTTCCACAATTTATTAATGGATGTATTTAAAGTTTATAATGACAATTTTTCTAATTATTTTTATATTACTTAAAAATCTTTTTAAAGTTTTTTAAAACTAAAACATAATATTTTACAAATGTAAATTTCAGCATTAACTTAAAATATTTATCATATTTATTATTAACCTTTCGCATCTTCTCTCTCATATGAATTGTCCTTTTTGCCTTTTGACTATCTTTTCTTATTTTTAAATAATATATTAAAATTTATTTTCTATTTATTATTATGTTTCTTCTTATTATTATTGTATAAGCAAAATGATTACAAAATCTAAAAAGAGTGCCACTTTTTTTTTTTTTTATTGATTAGCTTATATTCATTGGGCTGTTTAAAAAGTTTTTTATTATACATGATTACAATCAATACTAATTGATTCTCATAATTTATTTTTATTTTTCATTTTTATGTATTCATTATTTTAGTATTTTTAATATAAATATTATTGTTCTCATGTATATTTAAAAATAATATTACTACTGTTATTGATAAAATAAGATCCCTTTAGTTCTATATTTATTCATACGAATTAAAATTTTGTAATATATTTAAGAAGTATTTTAATTTAAATACGAAAAATTAATAAATTTTTCTTAAATTTTTAAATAAAGATTTGCTGTTTTGATATTTAATTCTAAATATTACAGATAAATTTAGGTGCTGTCTTTTATGTAATTAAATTTTCTTTATAACGTATGTTTATATAATTTTTGTGTATTTAAAATATTTAAATTTTCTAAGAAATATAACGTTCAATTTTAATTTACTTAATTAATTTCTATTTATAATCTTGAATAACCACTAATTGAATCATTTTTGGTATCTATTATTGTTAAATTTAAAGTAAGAAATAATTCTTCTGTATTCAAAGTGTAATTTGAATTAGAAATTAAGTAAATATTTATTTTAATAAGTTGAAAATACTGAAATATAAATTACAGGATTGCATATGATTTTATATAAATATTTTTTTTTAATTCATAAATTATTCGAAAGGTAAATATGTTAAGTACCTCAAAATCATTAGTAAAATACATTTTTATCAATGTGTATACATTTAAAAGTGGATATAATTTGATATTGGCTTGAATTAGAAAATTTTGATATTAGTTTAATAGAATGACCGATGAACATAATAAAAATAAAATCAAGCATAATGATAATAAAGAATCTACTATTCAATTAAGGTATGATAATGTGTTTTAGGTTATAGTATAGTGGATATAGTCATTATAACTAATATTCTATACTAAATTGTAAAGTAGAAAATATAAATCTTTTTTATTATAGAAATATAAATAGCAAAAGAGAAGATTTTTTAGAATGGAATGACTATTTTATGGCTGTTGCTTTCCTTGCTGCCATGCGTAGTAAAGATCCTTGTACTCAAGTTGGAGCTTGTATCGTTAATGAAGATAAAAAAATTGTCGGTATTGGTTATAATGGTATGCCACTTGGTTGCAATGATGACCAATTTCCATGGTCAAAAGAAAATTTGGATAAATTAGAAACAAAATATCTTTATGGTACAATTTATTAGATAATATTAATTATATGACATTAAAATAAAATCTAATATTATTTCAGTTTGTCATGCAGAACTTAATGCAATTTTAAATAAGAATGCAGAAAATATTAAAAATTGTACTCTTTATGTGGGCTTATTTCCTTGTAACGAATGTGCAAAAGTAATTATTCAATCTGGAATAAAAATAGTTTATTACATATCCGATAAACATGCATCTAAATGTACAACTGTAGCTGCAAAGAGAATGTTTGATGCTGCAAAAGTAGAATATAGGTATTTATGATATTAAATTTTAAGTTTAAATTTAAATTAAATTTTAATATTTTATAATTTCAGGCAGTACAAACCTAAAAATGAAAAAATAATAATTGATTTTAATGAAATAAATTGGAATGAAATGACTCAATTACCTTCTACACCTTTGAAAGACAATAGATCTTAATGTGATTATAAAGTTTGGAATATTATAAAATAAGTTAAAAATATAATTATTTTAATTAAATATTATTCTTTTACTATTTTACATATTTCAAAATAACATTTTAAGTCTAATATAATGAAGAGGTTTCATGCATATACTCAAAATTGATTATTCTATTATTAGTCAAATAAAATGTTAAAATAAAAATTGTTTGAGATAATAAAGTAGATTATTTTATTAATTTATAATAATTTTATTGTATAATAATTAATGTAATTAATCTTATATTCATAAAATCGGTAATGTATCATTAAAAACTACCGAAAAATGTTTTTATAAAACATTTATAATTATAATATTGATTATTGTAAAGTTAAAATGTTCACGTTTGGATAATAGTGTTATTTATATACTTTCAAAATTATACAATTAATTTATTTAAATTATTTAAAGGAAAATATGCAAATTTACTATTTAAAGCTTTTGTTTTAGTTTTACGTTTTGTGTTTATCTTATTGTTTTGTAAAGTTAGTACTTGTTTATTTGTGATTATTTGATATTGTACAAACCATTGAATTAATTTTTTTACAATCCATCATTCAAAATATTTTACCATACTACAGAAAATGATTTTTATTTTATAAATCTTTAACATGTAATGTAAAATGTATAATATAAATTAGATAATTTTAAATATAAATGACAGTTTGAGAATAAAATTGTTGATTTTCTTTTATCAGATTCTATAAAATACTTAGTATATACTTAGTATATGTTTTATTTTGTGTGTAACTTATTTTTAATGTTAAGTTTTTACAATTGTATAAAAACAGAATTTTATTAAAAAAATTTTAAGAAGTTTGTTTTCCAAGCAAAAAAGGATATATATTTAGGATTTGTATGAATAATTGTATAGCAATCTAAGTCTTGATATATTTTATTGAATGCGTCTGTACAAGTGATGAAATAATTATTAGGGATACTGGGCATAAGCTTTTATAATGCAATAAATACAAATTAAATCTTGTATATTATTCAGCTTGTAGCTAATGTATTTGGCAAAACCTCAATAATTTATAAAACACTACTGATTTATTCGAATGAAATAATCACTTTTTGATTACTATGATCATATTCTTGAAATAATATAAAAAAAAAACTATTTTTATATGTACTGTTTAAGAGAGAATAATTTGACTAAATTTAAACAAAAATTTAATTGTTTTAAAATAATGATCTCATAAATTTTATGACAAGACAAAGTACGAATCTTTTGCGAATATTATTTATTTTCCTATAATACAATAATTGCTGATATGAAATTCATACTTTAAAATAAAAGTATCAATATTTGAAAATAAAATATTGATACACGTTTTTCACTTAAACAAGATAGTAATAAAAATGTCACTTTTTACTGTACAAAGTTTTCAAAGAAAATTGACTATTTTATGAAATATTTATTATGAAGTTCAGACTCAGACTCAGAATTACTTATGCTGTACAATGGTTAAAGAGATGATACTGAGTTCAGAGCTATATGAAATATAAGATAAGCCTACTTTATACTTCAGGTTCACATATTGTATCATATTTCTACGAATTATATTTTTATAACACAAGATTTAATATCATGTATTGGATTCGTAAGTCACAAAGCAACAATTTTATTGTAGTGTGTGAAATTTAAAATTTACAATTATTCAAATAACAACCATTATTATTTTAAGGTTGTGAGAATATACTTGAACAAACGTTGATATTCTTACAATTTTATTAAAATTTTCATTGCTATTTGATTGAAATAACTCATTGTTTTTGTCATGTTTAATTTCAATATGTTTGTTTCTATGCATATTCATTGTACGCAAACAGTTTATGCTATATATAAGAAAAATGATAATACAGTTCGATGTTTTATAAGTATCATATGATAGAAGAGTAGTCAGTATTTTATTCTACATAACAAACTCTCTTAATAATGTTTTATAACTAGTTTTCGCGATTTTTGTTAAATAATATTCATAATGAAATGAAAATTCATTAATACTTTTAACTCCTAACATGTAATTTTTACAATGATGATAGACTTGAAACTGAAATATTTGTTAAAACAAGAAAGTTTTAATTTACAATAGTTAAATTTAGTAAATAGTTGCATCGTATGTATATTCTTATAATTGCATGATTTTAATGATTATTATTCATGAATTATTGAGATGGCTAGTAAATGTAGATAATAAATAGACAATAATTTTGGTTGAAGTAATATCATTGATAAAAAATCATACTTTTCACGATGTTAGATAGTAAGCAAAAACTTTATTATATCAAGTATCATTCGTCGTTTAAAAAGAAAGAATTTACATAAAAGACAAATCAATTTTAAGTTATATCAAAAGAACAATCCCTAAACAAATAAAAATGTTTAAAAATCCAATGTTAACGATGGCATTTCATTAATAGAATTTGGTAATAGCCATATAATCACTGTACCTATAGTCTAGAACACAAAGTAGAAATGTTTCTTAAATTATCGCAGTACGCATATTGTGAAATTGTATACAACTTTTGTATTTCGTTTGTACCAATATTATCGTTTATTTTATTTTTTATGTATTCTTATTTTATACACAACACATCCTGTACATTAAAATTCAATTATCATTCAGTAGTGTCTTTTGCTTTATATGTTTTATGTGAAGATATTTTACGAGTTTTCACGCGATTGCTCTTCCTATGGGTAGAAAAAGAAAATCTACAACTTGACTTACTATGTCGGTGTTCGTGATTTTATCTCTTTGTGACACTTATAATGTCATTACTATATGAAAACTTTAGCAAAACACGAAGCTCATTTTTGGTGGTATTTATTTTCTCAATGCTTTATGCATATATCTGTTAAAACTCAATTAGCCAAGTCGAACGATCGACAGTATCAATTTATTAAGAATAATCGTACGTTTTTCACGTTCTCAGTAATATTTTTATGAACCCAGCATATTTTTTTTTAATTTTTCGATAACATTACAAGAACTTGCATTATATTACATGTTATTTTCTTCTTTCTCATTAGTCAATGAAATATCTATTCATCGAGTTCATTTAATAATATATGTGGTAGTATATACGCGCAACGCATACTCATCCATAATGTCGCTTGGCGGCGTTTAATTATCTTTACTTTCATATAAGTCGTTTGCATCGTTTTATTACCGTATCATACTACTCACGTCCAGCCTCGATTCTCTATTTAATAATATATCTCTATTTACTTTAAATTAATTCATCTGCAAAATTCTGAAGTATTAATTTATTGATTTTGTTATCTTGTTTTTATTTGTTCAAATATTTATTTCATTTGTGAACTTACTAATAAAGAGCAAGTAATCACCTCTTTTTCTTTTTTTTAGCTTGTATTACTTTTCTTTCACTATTTGCTTGTTGGTCTTTTTCTGTCTATCTGCTTGCCCGCCTATTTTTCCTCTCTCATCCCTCTTTCTATCTATCTATCTCTCAAATTCATAAACACTTAACATTCATACTTCTTGCGCATATACACACGTTTTATCCCTCCATAAGTTTCGCCTAGCTACATTGCAGATCATTGGTAAGACAGTAGCATGAGCAGGATTCGCCCTGCTAGGATCAGTACTTATTCGATGGAGGCTGCTGTTGCTGTTCTTTACTTTCTTGATGATTAATGAGAAGCTGTTGATGTTGTTGTTTCGATTCAGGTGGGTGGAAAGCTGTTGCGTATGGGAAACGCTCGTGACATTTGCTCGTATAGTCGGCTATCGCCTGCTCGCAAAGTCCAAAATCTCCGTTACGCAGTGCCTCCAGTATTTTCGTGCAATTTTCAAGGTTCACGGCCTTAAGATTAGAATCTAAATTTGTCGTTAGTGAAATAGCCTTTTGCTGAGATGTAGGATCTAGTAGGTAGAGCATTCGTGCACCCTGCAATAAATGTGGCAAGGATTTTGAGTTCTTAATTAAATAATCAGAATTCAATTGAAAAGCATTTGTATTCGAGAAAATGCCAGTCGATTGGCGTTTAATGACTTCATTGACGATACTGCCGTGATTAGAAGTGCTTGTGTGACGAAGGAAACGTACGAGACAACTGTGCAGTTCAGGATTGTTAGGTTCTAAACGATGTGCACGGTTTACCGATCGGAGCATTAGTAGGGTTCGACCTGTGAAAAAAATACAATTTTTATTTATTGTTATGTACTCTCCTCCCACTTCTGTTATAATTCACAATTATAGTATTATAAATAACATACTTCCATTCAATAAGTAAAATCAGTACTTTTTAACATATTTTTAATGTATTGTGCACTACAAATTTTAAATGAATTAAATTATTTGATTTAAATTAAAATTAAACAAAATTTTAAAGCAATCTTTAGAAAAATTCCTTACTTTCTTTCGTAATGTTCAATACAAATTCACCACACGGAATGATAATAATTAATGTTAAATTTAATATTACGAAATATCATATAAGTATTTATGTAAACTATATAGATACTACCTTTTTTACGCCATGTTTTTAAATAATTTTTTATTTTTTTTCGAAAATCAATAAGTTTAATAAAAAAATAATCACAAGGAATCATAGATAACTTTAAATTATAATATTCGATTACTATTGAGAAATAACTTGTATAAAATAATCTATAAAAAATTAATTCGATTTATTTAATATTATATATGTTATGAAAGTACAATAAATGTATACTAATTTTTTTTCAATTCAAATACAATATACAACAATGGCAACTATCATAATAAGAAAAAGTAATAAAATTTAATCCAATCAGAAAAATCCAAAAGAAAATGTAAATTTATATGAAATTATTAGTTTTGTTGTTGACATATTTACCTTTTCGAATATATATTTCAAAAGCCATGAGATGAGTTTCTATTTTATTTGCAGCTAATTCTTGTAAGGGAAGGAGAAATTTAATAGCTTGTTCTAATGGATCCTCGATCTGTAATACAAATAAAATAATTAAAAAGTTGTAAATTATCCTTTTTATTTAAAAAAAATTTCATTAAATTACTTATAACTGAATAGTAAACGAGATTATACTTTTAATTATTATTAATGCATATTGAATAATATATTTAAAATTATTTAGTAAAATTTATAACTAGTAATTATATCATAAATGATTGATCTATTGTACGTATTTATTATGAAATAATAAATAATTTATCTATGCTTATTTTAAATAGAAATCTAAATCTAAGTATATTAGTGAAACATGAATCAAATTAATGAACTCGATATACAAAATAAACGTAAAAAACATTCAGCTAGCTTCTGTTTACATGGTAGCTGAAGCACGTACATTGAAGAATACATTAATGATGTGCCTCTGTATATATAATAATTAATTCATCATATTTCATTTCACTAACGCTAAGTATTATATATTGTATAGGGTATAAACATAATATGCATATAATTTCTTTATGCACTCGAAAGATTGATATTGTGTTGTATTCCTGTTTCTTATATATATATATATACATCAAATATTTGAGTTCGCAAAAATCGGGCACAAATTTCATCACGTGGCAGCAATCTGACTAAAACAGAGCACTAGCGTACGCAGCAAATACTGAGAGAAATTGCCGGTAAATTAGCGACATCGATTTATACACCAACGTAAGTTACAACTAAACTCCACTATCCGATTCGTTTAGGGTTAGTGTGTCCGGTTCGACACGGTCTCACACACCGACCACTAAGAACTCCAAACACCGACTTTTTTCGGACAACCGCTAAGTAAAGAAAAGAGGAGTCACATATTCGATCCATTAAATGCATTGTGATTAAAACAATTTCCTCGTAGTTCCCGTTTGTTTACAGGTTCTAATCACCAGAAATACCTGAAGTATCATAATTACGCAAGCTTTTAATGTAATGACGTTAAATATATATCTATGTTTATAGATCGCGAAAAAACATTGCTTATGCGTTAGCCAGTGCAACTAATTCTAACAATCGAACCCAGCCAGATTAACATTTAATCGATTTAACTCTCTCTCTCTCTCTCTCTCTCTCTCTCTCTACTTAACATGTTCTTTTACTTTTTGTTTCCGTACCTAGCCATATTTTTTCATATTTTTTAGCAAACCCTACACAGACGCTAAGATATTCAAATCATGGGAAGGATTACTTAATAAAAAACATCGTGCCTTAATTAATATCAGTACCAATAAATAAACCACAACAATAACTTTTTTAATAAAATATAATTACATATATTAAATACGTAAATAAATATATATACAAATTTTAATAATCAGTTTCTAAAATAGAAGATGAGCATTATCTTTATTTCTGAATTATGTAATATCTGTTAAAATTGATTAAAATAATTTTGAATATATGTCAAACTAGAAATCTCGTTCTAAAATTCTTCTTCCCGAAAAAGTAAAATAGTTAAAAAAAAAAAAAATTTACAGCAAAAATAATTGTTATTATTCGAACTGAGTGTGAATAACCTAAGTTTCATGCATTTGTTCTAAAAGAAGATATATTTTATAAAAATTCCTTGTTTCATTTGATATAAAACTGTAATCAAATATTTTTTATTTATATTTGATTTGTACAAATTCGTTGTTTATCATCACAGAGGACGTATTCCGTATTCATTCAGATAAAGGTATGTATGGATTTTTTCAACAAGAATAGTTTAATTGTATTAACGATAAGGTTTCCTCGGTAAAATTTTAATTATCATTAAAAATGATAAAATTAATCATTTCAAATTTGTATGTTTCGGTTAAAAATATTTCTTGAAAGTTCGGAAAAAAGCGTTTCCTTCCATTAATTTCTATTGTATTTGACATAAAAGTAAGTTAAAAAATCTGATTGAAATAATTAATAAAAAAGTGTATGTATATTTTGAGAATCTTGAATTGCATTTTATTTACTATAGTTAAAATATTCATTACAGTTTATTTTAACAATATTTAATCATATAATGAGAGAAAAATGTAATTATAACGTTTTAATAAGGTCTTAATAATATGAATAGTTATAAATATAGAATATCAGAAACTACAATGATTGAATATAAATATTAATTTTAATTAAAGCCTATAATTTAATAACATTTTACTAAACTTGACCTTCAAATATAAGATATCAAATTTATTATTAAAAAGTTACTTTGAACAATATTTAGGAAAATAAGGTTTCAAAAACTTATGCTAAAGAGTTTTACTTGTACATATAGTCTTAGTATAATATGAAAAATGAGGTTAATTTTTCTCTATTTGGAAACAATTTTTTCCGTCCATTAAAAATGTAATAAAGTTACAAAGTTATGCATAGATAAGCTATAAATAATATTAAAATGAGAAAATAATTATTCCTTAAAAAAATAACGCAAAGTATAGGTAAAATTAAAATAATATCAATACAAAATATCATGTAAACTTTTCTACGCTATTAACACAATAATTTTTTTATAATTTCAATTTCATTTTTAACAACTGCACAATCAATCACTTTACGCATCTACAAAATTTTTTAAGAATTCAACCAAAATTTTGAACATAATTTACATAATATTCAAAAAATGTTTTTACAAAAAATATGATTAAAATTCAAAATAATAAAATTTAATATATTTTAAATTACAGGCCAAGTTAATTTGTGAAAAACTACGTTTTTGGCGCTACCAACAATTAATTCTTTTAGTACTTATTTTAAACAAGCTTTTTTCATTCAACTCGTTGGTAAAAATAAATCCTTACTGGGTTAATGAAATATGCTCATTTGAATAATTATTTTATCTGTATACATATGTATAATTATTATGGAACTAGTATACCCTTTCTAATTTTTCTGGTATCAGCTCGTCTAGCGTCGGTTGCTCTAAATCAGGATCTGTTTGCTGTCTTGATTTATTGTGCTGTTCCCTTTTTTCTTGTGCTTGAGCTGCTTGTTGCCTTTCCAATTCGGCTTTTCTCTGTTGCTTTCTTTGTTTATTTCTTAACTTTTTTAACTCAGATGGCGCCAAATTTTCTGTACAGATACAACAAAATATGAAATAAATTTTTCTTTCAATAATGCACTTACATATAATTTATTATCTATAAATAAATTGCAATGTATTAGGCAATGTATTATAATTTTATGTAGTGTAAAGATAATTAGTGTTCATTAGTATTTTTCAATTTTAAAAGTACTATTGAGATATTTATTCAACTTATCAACATATTTCTAATAATTATAATACAAACATATTTATTTACACATACGCGCGCGCGCGCACACACACACACGCGCACACACACATATAAAAATTTTTAAGATATTCATCCCTAAGTGAGTCCCTATCATCTGCATTATTGATATCGTTTATAAATGATAGCAAAGATAAATTTTCAATTTATCTCTTAATATTCGTGTTATAACCAGCCTATATTAACGGTTTTTTAAATAAATTCAATATGTAAATCTAAAAGGAAATTTGTATTCTTATTCAACATTTCCATCTTCATTATTTTTCATGTTTATAGTAATCTCATAATAATAGCAATATAATACGCATAAGTTTAAAGAAAATTATTCTTTGAAAAAGTACATAACCACAATATATTGTGAAATATTCAAAATATATATTATATCTTCATTAATAAAAATTAAATCAAATTTTCATTATAATTCAGATCTCGTTAAAATATTAAACGAATGAGATATCACTAAAATTAAGAAAGATAAATAATGAAATATACGGGAAGAAGCAATCTACTAGAATTCAACACTATGATCATATAGTATTCATAATTAATTGCTCAGAAATAAAAATAAATTCTGTTTTCTTTTCGTTTCATTTATATAAAATAATTATTTTGATTTGTTATTAAATGTCATATTATATGTGTTATAATATATAAACAATATAATAAAAGTTTTTTTTCAATGTTATCAAATTAAAATTTTAATTTCAAACATATATTCTAATTGAAATATTAAAGGTATATTTTGATTTAATTAATTAAATTATGTAAAAGCAATTTTTATTATAATTATGGGAATATGTTTTTATAGAGAGGGGATGTATCTGTGACCATGGAAAAAATAGTGCAGGAAATTACACACCAGGTGGTTACACCTTCACGAACTGCATTATATGTTCTCACAAATGATTAGAAAGGTGGTAGTTAGTACATAACTAGGAGTATTTGCTTTCTCGGAACATATGAGTGAAGATAAATATAAAGAACATTAAAAAGGGTGATTATGAGTTTAATAAATTTTAAACAAATTTAGAAGACGGACCAACATCAGCAAAGGATAAATATTCAATTTAGGGAGAGAGTACTATGAGAAATTAGCGAATATCGAGTAGCTGCAAAAGGGAAATACATACACTGAAAACAGCTTTTATCTTCACTATCAAACTAACATTATTACATATACATATATGTTAGAAATAAAAAATGAAACAAGCCATATCTTATAATTATATGGATAAATAATTCAGTAAAAATTGCTTATTCAAACAGACTTATATATAAATTAGCATATATATACACAGGGAGAGGTGGGGGATAATTTCTTCCATCCAAACAATAAGAAAGCAAAGTTTCTAAAAAATTCTTAAATGGAAATTGTTTTTAGTTTATCTTTACAATATATTCTGTATATATCTTATAAATATATTATAGTTTATATAATATATAGTATTGAAGGACGACTTCCCTTAGTAAACAATAACCAAATATAAAATGACATTACGTAAAGAAGCTCGACAAATAAACCAGAAAATAAAGAAAAACTACACCTGAGTAGAAATGAGAATAAAAATCACATTATGCCTTTACACAATAATGTTCAATTTCAGCTTCATTTCGAAGATTACTTGTCGTGCAATGATCGTATAGTTTTATTTATCTTTTCCCGCATACTCAAATAAAATTATATTAAAGATACCTTTTTATCGTTTACGCTCTATATTAATATATAAATTCAGTTTTGCCTTCATGTTGTGCATAGCAACATATCACGTGTCATATTTTCCATTAACAATGGCTAGTGCTATCAAAGAGATGCCAAAAATTATATATAATTTTAAATTTAATATTAATATTTATTTTATTTTTAAATCGTTTTAAATATAATCATCTCGAATTATAAATATTTGTTTTAATAATTTAGTCACATATTTTACGATACAATTAGTTAATAAGTCACGCTAAATTAATTTTTTTTTTTACTATTATTATTAAAAAATTATTATTGTTTATAATTTAATAGATCTGTCTAACTATAATATTAAATAATAAATACTAAAGAATTTCTTTATCATGATAAAAAACTTTTAATTCTTAAGAAATGAATATTGCAGTAGTTTTTTCTTACTTCAATGCTCTCTTACATATATATTATCCTGAAGATCGGTTCAATTTATTTACTTACGAGTATAATCAATTTTATTTTAAAAAATGAATACTAGAAAATTTTGTGTATAATAAGAATAAATATTTTGAAACTGAGTGGACTAAAATTTTTCTGAATTTTTCCAAATTATATATATAATGTGCACCTATTCGAATAAAGTATTTCCTCGAATATAATATACATAATTATTTATGGATGGTTACAATAAATTAAAATTTTATTGTTTGAAATTAATATTGTACTTAAAATGGTGAAAAAATAAAATTGTTATAATTGCTAAGATAATAAAATACGAAATAGTTATTTGAAAGTTTTCAAAATGAATATTTTTAATTTCTCTTTTTCAACAAAGAAACATGAATAGTAAGACGATGTTTAAAAAAATCACTGATGATATTAATGAGAAAATGTCCGTAAAATGGAATATGGAACTTTGTTCGGAGAAATCTTATACAAATAACTGAAAAGTAAATTAAATAGATTAGATTAAATAATGAAAGTTTTAATACAAATATTTATATCAGTATTCTTTAAGTGAATATAAAATAAAAAAAAGAGCTATGCTCAAATTAAGTAAATGTATTCAAATACTAATGAAATTATTAACATGTTTATTATTAAACTATTATCATTAGTATACGTTTTAGTATACGATGAATTAGTATTACGATCGAACATTTCAATACGAATTATATTTTCTTTTATGTATTATTTGCTACCTTGTAAATTATATCATAAGGATAACTATTGCATTGTGATTGCGCAAAAATATATATGTTTTATTATACCTCGTTAATCAGAAAAAAAATAAGGCTATTGCATGAATTTATAACCAGACACGATTGATAACTTGCTCATCCAGGCTTAAGTTTTTAATTATAAAGAGTATTACTTCAACGGTATTATAACTGAAAATTACTTGAACAAAGTTATATAAGCTTAGACAAATCGATGCATTTTACACGCACACACGCAAGCACGCACGTGTTGCATTGAATAATGAATTTAAGTAAGCGTTTATATGCATACACGCATGCTCTTTCTGTTACCAATCCCTTTCATATAAAAACATTAAAATAAAAGTATTAATTCTATAATTTGGTTAAATTCTTGTTTTCTTCTTTAGTCTGGAATAAGTTAAAAAGTAATAATACAATTCTGATGAAAAAAATTGAATTAAAATAATTTATTTTTTACTTTTTAATTTAAAATTTAATTTTATCTATATTGATAGTTTATTTAGTTTATCTTATTAAGTTTATATTATTTAGTTCAATAATTACATTTTTTTAGAAATGTATTTAATATATTTATGAAAGAGTAACAAAATTTTAAAAACGTTTTAAAAAGTTAATTGTAGAATAACTATTATGGAGTTTGTGCTAAAGAGTACCACTGTGTTATTTTTGACAAATTGTAAATTTTAAATTAATATATATATTTCAAAGTGTTACAGTTAGTTTATATGAAAGTTCTATAACTAGATTATATATATAAGGCAGCATTTGAGCGGACTTTGTAAAAATTAATACCTTCTATACGATTAAAATAATTTACAACTATTAAAAATTGAAATAAATATTGACCAGAAATCATATGTATTACAGTGAAAATCCTTAAATAAATATATTGTGCACAATTGAATATATTGATTATTACTGAATAAAAAAAGTTTATTTATTTGCATTCCAAAAAGTCAAATAAATTTTTTATATTTTGTAAAAATATTATTCATAATATTTTGGATAATTTTATATAATATGACATACTTTCATTTATTTTTAAATTAAATTATATTAGTTTATATAATTTTTTTACGGTAAAAGATAATTTAATTTTTTAGTTAAAGTTACATAAAAATTATTTTAAATTCTCTTTGTTTTTAATTGTTTTATCCAATGAAGCTAAAATACTTTTTTAAAAAACATAGTATAATTTATTGCAATTAATAATATTACACAAATTATTTTTATGTTTCTTAAATACTACAAATTTCTCAGTCACAAAATGAAAGAATTTACTTTTCTATTAAAATATTTCATTTTCATTAATATTAATAACAAAAATTTTGTTTTAAATTTACTTTTTTGTATAAAATTGTTTGCACAATATATAATGAAGATATATAAATATATATCATTTATATCAAAATTTATCTTACTATTTGTATATCTAAAAATAAAATATAAAACATAATACTTGTCTCATTAATTTAATTTGATCATGAATAGTAAACGCTTTAACACCACTTATTTTGTAGTAATATAAAAGATACTTATAAAATAGATAATTCAGTTTCAACATAATAAATTTCAGTTGTTTAAAAACATAACAAAGTTGATTAAGCACAACATATTCAGAGTATTTGTATTACTTTATTTTTAAAAGAGCAGCCTTGTTTGATATTAACTACTGCAGTAATGAAAACAAAATTGTAGAGTGAGAGTAGTGTACAATCATTTAATTATATGAAAGTAAATAGTACATATTTTGATTTGCTTTACTGCATTAGTAATTTAAGAATGATTAACAATGACTATTTAACAGTAATATGATTAATTAAATAAATAAATCCTACACAAATACTTTGATTTCATTTAAAAATATTTAAAATAAAT